CAAACAAATGAGCTAATCGTTTTGAAAGCATTTGAGTAAGATTCCTAAGGGCCAAATCAAGCTGTTTCTGGGCTCGAGGCCATGGTGCCATTCCTTTTCTGTTCTGTATGATTGGGTACTTCAGCTGAAGCAATTAAAACCTGTTTCCAACAAAACAAAACAAAACTGGTAGCACAGTTTGTTCCTTTTTCTCTTTTTCTGTGGTGCTTAAATTTTCAGGGGTTGGGGGTAGGAGGAGATAGGACTTAAGTGGAGAAGGCTTTAGGATTGTCAGGACAGCATTTTAGCCTGAGTGATTTGTAGCATGTGGCCATGAGGAAGAGGCCTCTAAAAATAACTGGTGACAGAGTCTTCAGTCAGGTCTAATTTCAGTTCTAGAGCCCTTAGCTGGGCAGGGTTGGCCAGTGTAAGCTCTAGTAGGGAAGGGCATGGGGTATGCCCACTACCTGCTGTGAGTGCTTTGATTTTTCTTTACTTCTCTATATATTATTCATGGATTGAAGACAGTCAAAATGGCTGAAGATAAAGGTATATTTATGTTGTCTGGGAGGATAAAAGTGGCTTTGGATCTAGTTGGAAACTTTTTGCTTTATTTTCAGTTGTACTCAGTGCAAATATTTTTGGTTAAATGCTTTGACTGCTGTTTTCTACCTTTTCTCTTTTGAATTCCCTGAGACTGGCAGTGGTTTAATTTTTTCATGTAATAATCTGTCTTTAATTTGAATAGGCTTACTGTTGTAAATTATCTTTTAATAATTTTTTAGTTCCACTACCAGAGACACATTTTACAAAGTTGAAAAAATTTTGTTAGAGTTACAGGTTGTGTGCATTCAGATTTCACATAAAATGACAGGAAATTTAAGTAATATATAAATACAATCTTGTAGTAGTGAGCAGATCTAGTTAATTCAAGCTAAGCCCATATATGGAAATTGACCTACTTGAGAAACAGATGATAAATGCAAAAATTCCAGACACTAGGAAGTTTATTTTGTTTTTTAAATTAAATCTAATTTTCAAGAATTCTTTAGTAATGTGAATTTACTTTGTTAAATGTCTGTTTTTCCTTATTTTATAAGTACAATTGCCTTTCTATTCATTTAAAGCAGACTATTAGCTCATTATAATGAAACTTGTTATTAAAAAAATGTAAAAGACACCTGAAGACTAACTGCTTATAACTCTCAACTGGGAAAGCAGCAATGAAAAGATTCTGTAGACATACAATGTGGGCATACCATTATTTAGAATGCTGTTTGGGATAACTGACTAAATATTTCACTTTATTAATCTGATAAAGTGCATTATTGCTCCTGAAGAATAGACTTTCAGTTTTTGAGTGCTGGGATTACGACATGTACCACCACAGCTAAACTCCCGACTTTACTTTTTTTAGAAGACATTTCTTCCTTTGTTCATTTCATGGATGCTGTGGTCTATTAGGTAAAATGAGCTGTTACTTCTATACAACTTTTAAGATTATTTTCAGTTTCCAAAGTAACCTCTTATGCCATTAAAAAAAAAAAAAGACCAGCTTGGCACTGGTGGCTCACTGTTGTAATCCTACCTACTCTGGAGGTTGAGATCTAGAGGATCAAGGCTCAAAGCTAACCTGGGCAGGAGAGTCTATGAGACTTATCTCCATTTAAACATCAAAAAGCCAGTAATGGAGCTGTGGCTTAAGTGGCAGCCCACTAACTTGAGTGAAAAAGCGAAGAGACAGTGCCCAGGCCCTGAGTTCAAACCTCAGCACACAAGTAATAATAATTGTAGTAATATAATAATAATAGTAATAATAATATTTGGTACATTGCACAGCAATTATTAACCCAAAATAACCTAAAAAGGTTATTTTTAACTTTCACTACATGCTTTTTATGTAAATAGGAAAAACTTGTAATAAAAATTTCCTCTGTGTAAACACCCGTTTGATAATTAACTGTATTATCTTTTAAAGTGACATATCTGACTAATAACTATTTTGAATGAAAATGTTACATAATTTAGGCAGATTAAAATAATATTTGAATGATAAAATCCATATGAGCATCAGTTACTGCCTTGTACTGGAGATTATTTTGAGGATTTAGCAATGCTTGTTATATAACTCAGTTAATAGGCCAGTAACTGACTCCCCACTTGATACGGAATTTCTGTTTTCCCATTCCTGACCAGGTAAGTAAAATACCACATTTTCCCTAAGCTCTGTCTGTTTTGAACTTTTGGGACTGTTGTTCACTGTAGTAATTCCCAGTGCTTTGGAGTACTCAAAAAAAAATAGATCTCTTTTGATGGGACGGAATGGGTAGAACTACATCATCCTTGACATAGACTTCGCTTCAGGAAATAGTCCCTGAGACTGTCAAAACACAGAGCCAGAAAATGAAATGAAGACTTTGCATTTATTCCATCTTAGAAAATAGGGGCAACTGCTAGGTGCTCTTCTAAAATATCTTTGTGACAAAGAACTGCTTTCAGGTTTGCCTAGGGAGTATTAATACACCCTTGCTGAGGTTTTTTCTCATTCTTGTTTTCTTCAGTCCAATTGGAGAGAAACTGATCTGCCCTAGGGGACCAGGCACACCATATTTACAAAGGGATATATCCAGAACATGTTGTTTGCTGTTGATAAAGGCTGCCCTGTATAAAGACGCCTTTGATGACATTACTAAGAGTTACCTTTTAAAGTGACAGATCTTCTTAATAACTATTTTGAATGAAAATGTTTCTAATACTAATAATTCATTGCTAACAGATTAAAGTAATATTTAAATAACTGAATCCATGTGAGCGTCAGTTATTACCTTGTACTAGAGATTATTTTGAGGACCCAGGGTGTACTACAGGCCTCTGTTATAAATGGCCTCCATGACTCTACTTTTCTAGTTTGCCTATCCTTGTTGCCTATCCTTTGTTGGCCATCCTCCATCAGCTTTTCGTGATGTAACTCATTTGTGTCTAAGTCTATAATTTCATGAAGTAAATTAGGAAACTTGATTGTGAAGTTAGTTGTTATACTCACACCTAAAAGAAAGGTAAACAGACTAGATTAAAAAGATTCTGTAGTCTGAATTTTGATTTTTCTTTCCTGCTCCTTCAATCTGTCTATAATTTATATGAGTATTACCAAGTTGGATGAATGATGCTTTATTGGTTTGTTTTGTTTTGATGCCTTTTATTTTGTTTGGTTTTGGCAGTACTGGGGTCTGGACCCAGGGCTTTATTCTCTTGAGCTATACACCTCCAGTACTTTTGAAAATCTCTGCAATTTTTCTTTCCCTTCTTGTGTTACAAAAGAGACAGTAATGGATAATTGATTTTTGAACTTAAGTATCAGTCCTAGTTTATTAGCTATTACATTTTAGGTTTATTTTGGGTGTGCTTTATTGATATATACATCTTAAAAGCTTAATTATTGGAAAAATCATATCACGTTGACAAACACATTGAATAAATAAGCCATTACTGTGTATGCATGCATATATATAAATATAACTCAATCCATATATCTATGAGTGTACACATGTACACATATTCAGATTGAGTCAGTCATTATGTACGCTTGAAAAATTGACTTGGAAGATTACCTTGCTGATGTAACTGTAACCCCTCTGTACAGTATTTTCAAAATAAAAAACTTACTTAAAAAAAAAGAACTTTTCCTTTTCTTGGGTGGCATTTTGAAATGTGATATAATCTTTCTTTGTATTTGTTGATGTTTATATACTAGGGATTACATTTCTTTCTAAGGGATATTTGAATATGAAGGTCTCTCCTTTTACTAACCAAGTTAACTTCTTTCTATAGCTGTCACTGACTTTAATATTTCTTGTTCATTGTCAAAGAATATTTCCAAAAGAACCTAAGGCATATCAAGCACATGAAATGTGGTAAATGATATGGGTGTCCAGCAGTTTGCAAAGCTGTTTTGCATTGAAGCCAGTTGTGAAGGAGCTTTTTTCTGCTTCCCTTGCCTGGCTAGGAAGGGCCCAATTGTTCTGTTTTGTTTCTCTTTGTCCTCTCTATGTTTCCATACTAGTTGTCTTCATTGTGGTGGTTGTACTCCTCTCCCTTTTTGTTTTTTGGGGAATAATTTTCTGTGGCAATTAACGGGGCTTTTAAGATTCATAGAAACTAAATAGCGATGTAGTACATCTGTTTCTTAGCTCAGCTACATTACTATATGATTCAATTAAGATTTTGATATGCTATAAGCTGCTATGTAGGGTGATTTTGATAAAGGACTTATAAGGAATCTCTATGGTAAATCAATATATTTCTTTTCTTTCTTTCTTTTTTGTTTGGTTGTGGGCTTGAACTCTGGGCCTGGATACTGTCCCTCAGCTATTCAGCTCAAGGTGAACACTCTACCCCTTGAGCCACAGCGCCACTTCTGGCTTTCTGGTGGTTAATTGGAGATAAGAGTCTCACAGACTTTCCTGCCTGAGCTGGCTTTGAACCATGATCCTTAGATCTCAGCCTCCTGAATAGCTAGGATTTTACAGGCATGACCCACTGGCACCCAGCTTATATATTTCTTTAAAAAATCATTAGCCGGGGCTGGGAAGTTGGCTCAGTGGTAGAGTGCTCATACATGAGGCCCTGGGTTCAGTTCTTCAGCACCACAAAATCAGAACAAAAGCTAGAAGTGGCGCAGTGATCAAGTGGTAGAGCTCTAGTCTTGAGCTGAAGAGCTGAGGGACAGCACCCAGGCCCAAAGTTCAACCCCCATGACTGACCCCCCCAAAAAAAAAGCCTATCAATAATTTCATTTCTTCAATTACTTCAGAATTAGAGTTCCATACTTCAAAATGGTATTGAGTCTAAGCATCTTTTTTTTGTTTACAAAATCTTTGTTTCCAGTGTTTTGAGAATTTAGGTAAAAATTATTTCTAACATGGTCCATCGAATGATGGAAGAAACAGTTTGGTGTGAAAAAGGTGGTTGATGAGACATTTTCATAGAGGCTGACATTTTCCATTTCTTTTGTTTCTAAACAGAGACGAAGCATGGAGGACACAAGAATGGGAGGAAAGGAGGACTTTCGGGAAGCTCCTTTTTCACATGGTTTATGGTCATTGCATTGCTGGGAGTGTGGGCATCTGTGGCTGTCGTGTGGTTTGATCTTGTTGATTATGAGGAAGTCCTAGGTAAGATTGTGGTACACTTGCTGATACGAATTTGCTGGAGGGTAAGTTATATCCCTTAGTAATCTTGAAGATTTATTACCAATCTTTTTGGTACTATTTTTGTAGCCTTTCTGTGTTTCTCAGTAGGCTGGAAGCAAAAAGGAATGTCTTGAGGGTTACCTTGGAGGAGTGGCTTTTAAATTTTGAATGTCATCTTTTTGTTTTTTTTTGTCTATCGTGGGCGGAATTCTGGGCCTGGGCGCTCTCCCTCAGCTCTTCAGCTCAAGGCGAGTGCTCTACCACTTGAACCACAGCACCACTTCTGGTTTTCTGGAGGTTAATTGGAGATAAGTCTTATGGACTTTCCTGCCTGGGCTGGCTTTGAACCATGATCCTCATATCTGAGCCTTTTCAGTAGCTAAGATTACAGGCGTGAGCCACCAGGGCCCAGCTTGAATGTCATCTGTAAAAAATAATATATAGGTTGTTTTGAATGTGTAGCATGCAAAGCCTTCAGCATATTATATTAATTCATTATCCTTTGAGTTTTAAAAATTTTCGATCATGAACTACTGAATTTATTTAAGGACAGAAATTATTGTAGCTACCTATACAATTTACAAAATCCTTCTCTAGAGTAGAGAAGGTTTTTCAAAGCATTTCTGTTCAGGTCTCAGTTGAGATAGGGTGTGTTTATCTGTGTGTACATGTGTGTGTTCACATTCATGTACTTGTATTAGGATAAGGGTGTTGTTAACACTGGGGATGGGTGTGGTCTGTATGCTATTCAGAGGAGGTTCTGGACTACTTGTATTTTGGGGATTGCATCTGGGCCTTGCATTTACCATGCATGTGCTCTACTACTGTTTTTGAGATTGCTTGCCCTAGTATGTACTAGTATAATAGGCTTCCCATTGTATCTGGGATAGCCAAGTGTGTGCCCCTGTGCCCAGTTTTCTGTTGAGAAAGGAGGGGTCCCACAAACTTTCTGCCCTAGCTGATGAACTGCCATTCTCCTGATTACAGCCTGCTAAGTAGCTGTGTAGCTACAGGTGTGAGCCAGGTGCCTGACACTTGTTCATGTCCCCGACTTTTTTTTTTCTTTTACATAATCATTATAATTTTTCATGATTTTTGCAGTCTAATTCTGTGCCATTTTACCTTTTTTAAAAAATTGAGATAAAAATTACACAATATAAAATTCAGTATTTTTATATTTGAACATGTACATCATTGGCTTTTAGTATATTTTTTATTTTGTGCAGCAGTTACCATTATCTAATTCCAAAATAGTTTTATTGCTTCCTCCCACACACTCACTGTTCTTTCTATGACTGTAATTTTACCTGTATAAAACATGTCATATGATATGTGGATTTTTGTGTTTGTCTCTTTTCACTTAGCAACATTGCTCTTTCAAGGTTCAGTCCTTATTCCATTTTATGACAGAGTAATATCCCATCATATGGACACATCATATTTTGCTCATCTGTTCAATAGTGATGGACATTTTATGGTTATGAAGAGTGGCTTTCCTCTCAAGTAATCCAGGGGACATGGACTGGAAAAAACATACACTCTACATAAGACCCTCTCCTGTCCACTAGATCTCTTGCCTTAGGTTCCCCCCCCCTCTCTCCCCGTCTCCTGGCCAATCCTGGGGCTTGAACTCAGGGCCTGGGCACTATCCCTGAGCTTCTTTTGCCCAAGGCTAACACTCTACCATTTGAGCCATAGCACCACTTCCAGCTTTTTCTTTTTTCTTTCTTTTTTTTTTTTTTGTCATTTGTGGGGCCTGAACTCTGGGCCTGGTCATTGTCCTCAGCTCTTCAGCTCAAGGCTAGCACTCTACCATTTGAGCCACAGTGCCACTTCCAGCATTTTTTTCTGCTTACGTGGTGCTGAGGAATCGAACCCAGGGCCTCATGCATGCAAGGCAAACACTCTTACCATTGAGCCAGTTTCCCAGTTCCTGCTTAGTTATTTTATGAAAGCCTTCTTCCTTGGGCTGGGATAAGAGTGAATGTTAAAATATGTCTTTTACTGATGCTCTTCCTCTTTGACTTTAGAGAAAGTATGTCTCTCAGTAGATGAGTAGACTAACAGAATTTTAGTTCAGGCAAACTTGTGAATGGTTCTCTACTCTGCTTGTACTGCTGTGTTGCTAGGGAATGTATGTGAAAGAAGAGATTTGACATGGGTGTACCCTTTAATTACAAGTAACTGTTTTCATGTTTTTACATGCATGCAGCCAAAGCAAAGGACTTCCGTTATAATTTATCAGAGGTGCTTCAAGGTACGCCACTGGAGATATGTTTTAAGTGTTTTTGCGTCAGTCTCTAAGACATCATTTTTGTCCTGCTGACTTAGTTATTGTTTGTTTCAGAATGGAAGCTGTAGGATTCACTTCCCCTTTTAAGTTTGACTGGAAGCGTATTTTCTTTCTTCAGTGTTATTTGAGCTCTTTATACAGCCTTGATCTGCAGATGAATGCTTTTCATTTTCTTAGCAAGAGAACTAACATCTTCACCTCTCCACTGTTCATACCATTTTTAATGTGTGTGCTATGTCAGACATAAAGAGCAAGTTAATTATTTTCCTAAGTAGAGCCAGGGTTCTAGGAAGATTTAGATTGGTTCCTATTGCTCTATTGCTAGAATTTCTACCTGCTCTCTTGTAATATTTAAATGTAATTTATATTAAAGAAATGGAAACAGTGTTGCTAACTTTTTTTTTTAGTACTAATACTGGATTTGTGATTGCTTTTAAAGTATTATACGTTGTTTCTTCATAGCTCTCAGACCAAGGATGAATTATGAACTTTGATGAACTTTGTTTTAGAATGCTTTTCAGATGTTGAATACATTAGATTTGTTTGAAATGTTAAACATATGAGTGTTTCTGATGAAAAGCATTATTAAAACCTTAAATGTACATATTTACTGCTCTTTAGGAGTAAAGGCATTAGATATGGTCTTCTCAGCATATCTGATTTACACCTATCCCTCTTCCCTTTTTAGGAAAAAATGGCCAGTACTAGTGAAGTAGCATAGCCATAATATTTTCTTTATAATTTCAGAAAACCTTTACGTCTTCTTATTTTATTTTTACAACAATCTTGCTCTCTTAAGGTTATTGTATAGTATTTCTTTAGTAAATAATTATATATGTGAAAAAGTAACCATCCTCTTTCTTTTAGTAGTTAGACTCTGTGTTGGCTTATTTACTTTTGGTCTTTATTTGAGGAGTGGTTGTTAATTTCTTTTGCGTTTGAATATTGACACTGATGAAATTTCACTCTTTAAAAACATTTATTTTTTGTTTTTGGCTCTCATGAGGCTTGAAGTTGGGCTTGGGTGCTGTCCCTGAGCTGTTTTTGCTCAAGACTAGTGTTCTATCACTGTGAGCCACAGCTCCACTTCCAAACATTATATTTTATGTAACTAGTAGAAATGGGTTGATTTTTTTTCTTGTATCTCTTAAAAGTTTTACCTGAAATATTTTTAAAGTGTTATAAATTTATTCTGAAGCTATTAGATCAGAGTATTGAAAACCTTTAAAACAGCATCTATGTCATGTCTTAGGATTACTAAGTAAATTGGATGTTTGGTATTATATTCATTGCATACTACTCTGTGGAATTAAGAGAATAAATATATCAACCAGAAATGTTTCTAGCTGAAGCACAGGACTGCAGTAAGTGGCAATTCCTTATTAAGTTTGTTTTCCTTTTATTGTTATATCTATTGTTTCTCTCATCTTGTAGGAAAACTAGGAGTCTATGATGCTGATGGTGATGGAGACTTTGATGTGGATGATGCCAAAGTTCTATTAGGCAAGTACAACTTTGCTTTTTATTTTGTTAATGATAGTAAAATATTGGAATCAAAAGAATACTTTGGCTTTAATAATATTTATGTCAATTATACATATTTTCTGGAAGGTATTTTGTTGCTTAATAATCAATTTCATTCTTTTTGCAACACCAAATGTCCTTATTACTACCTTTCAATCTACTTTCATCAGTAGGCATGTAGCTCTTGAATATACATTTTAAGTAAGTGCCATTGCATTTGTGCTTTCAGATTTAGAACTCTTCATATTCTGTACCTAAGGTATGGATAATACATAGTCTCTTTAATATGATAAAATTGCTGCTGCTTTTTCACACCATTTCCCACAATTCAGTTTCATTTGAAAATACTGATTTCTAAAGGCTTATATGAATTCATTTAGAATAAAATTACAAAAGCAAAAATCTTAAAATGTCCTATATACATTGTAAAATGAATATGAAATTATGTGTATGTGGTTTTTTAACCATATTTTCTTGTTTTACAAATCTTTCACTCTTTTTTTTCTCCCAGTAGAATTATTTGTCCTGATTTTATATTGCAATATTTCTTGTGTTTTTTGTTTTTTTTTGGGTCCGGTTGTGGTGCCTGAACTCTGGGCCTGGGTGCTGTCCCTCAGCTCTTCAGCTAAAGGCTAGCGCTCTACCACTTGAGCCACAGTGCCACTTCGGGCTTTTTTCTTTTTGCTTATGTGGTGCTGAGGAATTGAACCCAGGGCCTCATGCATGCAAGGCAAGCGCTCTACCACTGAGCCACCTTCCCAGCCCTGCAATATTTCTTGTAGTAAATAAAGATGTAGTATTCCCTTATTTACTTTAAAATGCCCTCTTACTGGTGGTGCTGATTTTAATATATAACTTTTATGAAATCTAGCCTTTTAGCCTGGTGTAATTCTGGTTTTAAACAACATCATTTCATTTGCTTTAGTACGAAGCATGACATGAGTTAGGAATTTTTATAGCAAATATTTAGAAAAATAGTGGCTATATCATGGTATTAGCTACTAAGTTTAATAGAATAGTAGCACTTAAGTCTTCCTGGCCACACTGATTTTTGCTTATTTAAGAACGGGAAAATGGAAAGTGTCTATGTCTGTAACCACTTAAACTGCTTTCAGTAGATAAATCTCATTTAAAAACAAACACTGGTTCTAAATGTGAAAACAAGGTTTAGTCATGATTAAATGTAGTATAGTTTCTTGCTTAGACCTGTCTTTATATGTTTCCTTGACTACCTACAGAGGAAGCTTACTATAAAATTCTCATGAAATTTCTTTTCTTACCCTTAGTGGAATTTTCTGTGTAACTCTGTCATTACATTTCTAAGCCAGAATTTCTTACATACGTTAAATCTGCAGATGAGTATAATTTTAGGTATACAAAAGAAATAAAATTATATAAAACTTAACATGTTAGTATGATGATAACTGCTTGCTAGCTTGCTATAAATGGTTTGCTACTCCAAAGTATCACTTTAAATGATTTCTGACTAGTAAAGTCTTTTATTTTTGAAAATAATTTCAAATGGTCTAAAAGTTCCTTTGCTTTTGGAAATGATTTTATTTCTGATGCACTTTTTTTTCCTTTAAATTAGCTTGTATTAGTTGCAGGGAGGGGTGGATTACATTGTTTCCCCAGACATGTTTACAATGTGTTTGAATCCATCATCCCCTCTATCACTCTTTTTGTCTCCCTTCCCCTCTTCTCAAGATAATTTAAACAGGTTTTATTGTTCTATTCTCATAGCTGCAAATAATTCATGTCAACAGTATTCAGCACTATTCAGTCTTCTTTATCCTTCTTGTTAGCCCAACTCCCCTGCTACTAGATCCCACCCTTCACGGTCTCATGCTCTGTTCCTCTTTCCTAGCCCTTTATGTACTACTTTTTTTTAAACTGATGTTTTTACATGAAAACTTGAGTTATTTTACTATATTTTACATTCCAAAAATACATTCCTTTGAAGAATTGCCATTAGCAGGTAAATTTGTGGTATAGACAAAGCAAAGCTTATTCCTTTCATAAGAATTATTACTAGGAGATATAACCAAATATGAATTTCAGTGTTTGTGTTTCTAATTTCACTAAGAAATTTATGAAGAAAGTTACAAGAAAGCTAAAATGAGTTATTTTATTGTGTATGTACCAGTGTATAGTTAGCTTGTGGCTATTGCAAACATGAAATAAACCCAGATAAGCAATCAGGCTATTACCTCTGTTTCTACACTCTTAGTTCTCTGCACTAAGTATAACCTTAACTTGGATTGATAATAAAAGTTCTTTTCTTAAGTTTGAAATTTTTGCAGTTTAGCTGTGCTGCTGTTGCTTGCAAGGGGGCTGCAAATAAAGCACCTAGTAAAATTTTGGGGTGTGAATGGTGACTTTCATCAGCTCTGTAGGATCAGGAAAAGTTACGGAGAAGCTAGGTTCTGTGGATGCATTTTCATTTAGGTCTCTGTTGAGGAGTAAACCCTCAGGGGAAAGATTTTAGATTGAAGCAGAAAGAATCCAAGAGGAAGGAAGATGGTTGGAGAAAAGGGAGTAAAAGATAATTTGTCCTGAAAGGAAGTAGTAACATTTGGGATATGTTGAACTTTCATACCTTTGGCATTTACTTCATAACTTTTCCCTCTAGGTTCTTAAATCTCCATATAAATTCAAGGAAATGTATTCATTCATATTTGCATTTCTTTTACATCTTAAGGGTTGTCTTGTGGAATAAGAAGAGAGAGTTAAATATCTATGAGTAAATGTAGATCATTAGCTAGTATTAGCTTTATTATTTCTGGCTAAGGCTTTTTTGATACATTTTGAAAATATACTAAGCCTGTTGCTGGCTACATAAGCATCTTGTTTTTGTGGCCAGCTTATGGGAAATAGAAAGATCTTTGATTTTAGCTTTCATTATTGACAATTGTATTGCTCATAGTATATCCTTTACAGACTTGCTTTCCACATACAATCAATAAAAGAAGATCCAAGGACTAGATGCTGGAAACAGTATCTTCTTAGTATATTATTACCTAAAGAGTACATGATCTCTTTTTGTTTCAGGATTAGCACCTAGCTGGCACTTATGCCTGGAGCACAGAAATCAAACCAGTTCACAACTTGTAGCTCTTTGATAAACATTTGTTCACTGTATGACATGTTGAGTGAATCCAAGAGAGGAGAGGACCAGAGTTTGCCCAGCTGAGAGCATCAGCACCTTGCTCTTTTATCCAGGCATAGTCAAAGAGGTTAAGGTGGAGTTACATATCCAGAAGATTTTCTTTTTCTTCTTTGGATTGGTACTTTCATCTTACGAGCAATAGGCAGATCATGACAAAGTTTTGTTTAAGTACTTTTTGTAACTTAGACACTTAATTTGTCATAATGAAGAGCAGGAAAGGTTTATGTTTTACATTTAATTTTCAGAAGTAATAATATGTTGGAATGTGGAGAAAATTTAAAAAGTATTAAATGCAGCTTTGGTGTTTTAGGTAGAGAGAAGAAACAATGTTATTTTCACAGATACTTGGGTGAAAATGCAAGTCCTTTTTCTATTCACAGCATTTGTCAACTCTGAAGTTGAATAAAAAACATTCTGGGCTTTTCACAAAGTAATTTAAATACCTGTCATACTTGTGTCCTTCCCTTTCCCTGCCCCCTGCCATTCTCCACCCCTAGTGTGAGAAATGACATAGTTTTTCCATGAATAAAGCAGAGGAAAAACACATTGTTATCTTCAAAACTTAACATAGTTTCATACTATTGTTTTTTAGATGTAAGCCTTGATAGTTAGTATTTGTGCTGCCTGGCGCTTTCCATTTTATCAAAGCCTTAAATGAGTGAGTTTTGGGCAGTTGCAGTTGGAGTAGCTTTGAGATTGTTGCTGTTAAGGTTTCTTACGGCCAGACTTTCTATCCTGTTTCCTTCTTAAAAGTTTGGGGTCTTGTTATATGTAGCTTGGCAGTACTGGCAGATTTTACCTATGGGAACCAAGAATTATTTCTCCTCCCAGCCAGTTCTTCAAAGGAGAAATACAAATGACTAAATGTACTGATTTTTTCTACTAGGATGACCTGTTCTTCTACGAGGGCTTAAAAAGGACAGAAGCCAGTAGACTTTGCAGTAGAAGGTGATTTCCTGAGCTGATGAGGAGAGGAATTTGGAATATTGCTACTACAAATGAGTGACTCAAGGCCTACTCTGAATACCTTACTGAAAGCAGAGAGAATTGATAATAATAGCTAACTCTAATTATTGAGCCTAATTACAATGATATAGAACTAACCTCCTTTAATTAAAATTCAAGTGTGTGATTTGAGTTAGTTTGAATGAATTGAGGTCCATCTGTGCAGTTAGAACCAAATAATCCTGCTTAGTCTTACCACTCCAGAGTTTCCTAAATTTACTTAGGTTCTGTGTGGAAAAAAGATGAGAAAATGAGCCATTCTATGTCCTATAAGTATTTATTGATGTATGCATAACTGTTTAATCAACTCTTCATAATGCCTTTAGTAAATAAGCAAACCAGGAGGTTGCTAGAAGTATTTTTTCCCCCTCAAACACGGCTTTTGTCTATGAAACCAAGCAGATACAATTTTGTCAATTTTTTTTCAGCCCAAGACCAATGGGAAAATACAAGTTTTCCACACACCTATCCCGGATCTGGTACGGATGGTGGGGGAGTGGTCAGGTTGGCTATCCTTTAGCACGGATAACTGAGACTTGATTGTGTGGTGTGCATCTCAGTTGATTTATTTCCACTTGTTACTTGTCCGTAAACATCCATGAACATGATGCACAGCCTTGTTGAGATCACTCTTTCTCAACTGAATTTTTTTCCACCTAACTGCTCTCCTTGTTTTCTCTTTCTCTCTTCCTTTATTCTTATGTAGGCCTGACCAAAGATGGCAGTAATGAAAATATTGATTCTCTTGAGGAAGTCCTTAATATTTTAGCGGAGGAAAGTTCAGATTGGTTTTATGGTTTCCTCT